GCGGAGGGAGCCAGGACCACAGTCGAGAGCTCTGTCTTGGGGGAGTCAGACACGCTTTCCCACCCCACTCCCACCCCAGAGCATCACCAAGTGTTCGGGGTCATTTGTTGGGGTGTATTTAGTTTCTTAGATGCACTGCTGTTCCTTGTCCAAAGCCTGGTACCCAGCAGACACCTGGACCAGGATCCTCATCTACTCCAGGGTTGTCAGCCCCATACAGGGGGATATCCCCCTGTCCCATCCGCTACAAGCTATGGGGCTCAAGCACCCTGGAGTTTAGGATTAGCCTTCTCGTCCTGCAGCAAGCAGGTTTTGCAGATGCTGGCCCCACTTCTTCTCCCCAGGAGGAACTCGGGAATCTCCCGCCTGGATTTGGGGCTTGGAATGATGGGACTCAGGCTGCTCTTAGCCTTGCTGGAGTACCAAATACCTTCATCTCACTGTGCAGAGCCATTCAAGGTGCTCTGAGGAGCAAAGGGCCCTGTGTCCTGTGGATCCCTCTGCCCACCCCATGTGCCAGCCTCTGAGAGCCCACGAGTCTCAAATGTCAGAATACATCCACATCCGGGTGAGGGGTTGGAGCTCAGACCCTCACATGTGCGCATCCTGCACCAAACACCGGCAAGGAGGTGATGGAGACCAGGTCCTTGCCTACCTGGTGGTGTCCTCTCCCAAAACACTGTCCCACAGGCACAGACAGGACATAAAATGGGAAAGCACAAAACAAAGGTTTGGTGCCTTCAAGGAACCTTCCAAGGAGACATTTCACGGCTGAGATCTAGACAGACCTTCTGCACCTGATCCTGATTCTCCTGTTTGAAAACCCAGATGCAATGCCGTTCCTAAATCCCAGCCCAAGCAAGACCTCTGCTAAGAGTCACTCCTCCTGAACCTCCTGACCCCCCCTGCAGTTCTGCCTCCAGCTCTGGGCCCCCAACAGCAGAAGGACACGGAGCTGTTGGAGTGAGTCCAGAGGAGGCCCCGGAGATGCTCCGAGGGCTGGAGCCCCTCTGCCATGGGGACAGGCTGGGGGAGTTGGGGGGTTCAGCCTGGAGAAGGGAAGCTCCGGGGAGACCTTAGAGCCACGTCCAGTGCCTGGGGGGGGCTACAAGAATGCTGGGGGGGGCTTTTTTCAAGGGCAGGGAGTGACAGGACAAGGGGGAATGGGTTCAAACGGAAAGAGGGAGATGGAGATGGGCCATCAGGAAGGAATTGTTCCCGGAGAGGGTGGGGAGGCACTGGGACAGGTTGCCCAGAGAAGCTGTGGGTGCCCCATGCATGTGCACATGAAACAGGAAAAAGGTAATCGAACCAAATATTCATCACCGAGCACAGTAAGCGCTGAGGCCAGTTCCAGCCTCCTTCTCCTGATCCTGCGAGGAGGCAGAGTCAGGAAAAACGGATGGTCACCCGCTGCAGCTACAAATGGAAAATGAAAAGACACCAACAATGAATCCGGAGTAAGGCAGTAAAAAAAAGACTAAAAATCATGTCTGATCATTCCTACAGACCACTTTGAGGGTGGATAGAAATTTTGTTGGAAGCTCTTTGCCAAAGAAAGGCTGGAGAGGTGAAAACGGAATGGAAAACCTTCAGCATGTTTTATTTTTTAATCGTTTCATCTGTGGTATGTTGATCACAGCTTGCTCATGCGCATGCGTGTGACAAGATCCCTGCCAGAAAAGGCGAGGGCCACTGCAGACCTTCCTCCACTTCTGCCCATGACGCTGCCCCTGGGCGATGCACTCTGGCTCTCCCGGCTTTCCTCAGAGCCACCTCAGCACCTCGGGGACCTCCCTACCCCACCCCAGGGGTGAGAGTGGGGGACCTTCGGTACCAAATACACGCACGTTATGTGAACAGAGAAACTCTGCTGAGACCAGAGAGACGCTCACCCTACAGCACAAGAATTGGTCCATCACATCCCATGTGGAAAACATGTACAGGATTGGTTTTGTTCGCTTCCCTCTAAAATACCGTTGGGTTGGTAGCCAGAGCACTCAACGTCTTCACTCAGTGTCAGCTCCAGCCTCAGTGCGTGGCTGACTCCCGTCATCCAGTCAAAACCAGCAACTGGATTTAATATCAAGCCTTGGGGTTGCCGAAGCCCGCCAAGGACTGCTGCTACCCGGTGAAACGGCAAGCCCCACGCTTGTCTTTGCACAGCCCTTCTCAGCAACCACCTCCACGTTTTTAGGAGAGCTTTCACCGCCCAAACACACGTCAAAGGTCTTGATGCTTCTGCTGTTGGTTCAGTTCTCTTGAAAGCAAACAGGAAGCAATAGGCATGGTGGCTCCGTCCCTCGGGGATCTCCAGCACAAGTTTTTGCTCACAGCAAACTATTTCTAGCCCTCTGTTCCCAACGTTTGCCGTGAGGTGAAATGAAGAACGTCCCAGTCTCCTTCATGGGGAGAGGTGAGGCCGGAAAGTGCGTGGGCGAATCATCATGACCACCTTCCTCAGGGAGTAGTAGTCTGTGTCCTTCCATGAGTACCACACGATGCCGTCCGGCCCCAGGACCTTGCGGTTTTTGATGGAGTATCGTCCACCCTGTGATGCAGAGAAAAAAAGATGGTCAGGTGTGGGAAATGTACGGGAGTCTCATCCAGCTGGGAGCATCAGAAAACCAATTGTTCTGAAATACTAGAGCAAAGACCTTAATGACAACGTGGTGAAGAGTATGTAAAGCCCAACATTTTTCAAATGATCCCCATGGAGCTGCCATCCACCCGCCTCAGTCCGCATGAGTCACAGAATCCCAGACTGGTTTGGGTTGGAAGGGACCTTAAAGCCCACCCAGTGCCACCCCCTGCCATGGGCAGGGACACCTTCCACTAGACCAGGTTGCTCCAAGCCTCATCCAGCCTGGCCTTGGACACTTCCAGGGATGGGGCATCCATAGCTTTTCTGGGGAACCTTTCCCAGTGCCTCCCCACCCTCTGCGGGAAGAATTCCTTCCCAATGTCCTTCCCAATGTCCTTCTCCCTGCCCTTGGAAAAAGCCCCCCCCCATCTTCCTTGTAGCCCCCCCAGACACTGGAAGGGACTCTGAGGGCTCCCTGGAGCCTTCCCTTCTCCAGGCTGAACCCCCCAACTCTCCCAGCCTGTCCCCATGGCAGAGGGGCTCCAGCCCTCAGAGCATCTCCAGGGCCTCCTCTGGACTCACTCTGACTGGTAATAGTCTGTCATATCACAAGTTGGACCATGCTGTCCCAAATCCCAGCATGCAGAGGTGTCTCAACACTCGTGTCCAGCCCATGGCACTGAAAAGACTGGAATGTCTTGGTTCCCGTCACTCACTGTTTTGCCCTCCCTGGAGAGCAGAGGCTGGTTGAGGCAGGAAGGACTGTTATGAAGTGAGGACCAACAGCCTCCTCCCAGCCCTGGACCTCATGTAGCACATCTGCATCCTCATCCTTCCATTTACCTTGTAATACACCCCATTGAGGTTGGAGAAAAAGCACTGGTGGTACCACCAGCCTCCATGGGAAATCTCGGCGCAGATGTTCCCCGAGTCGGGTGTGCTGAAGCTCCTCTTGTTGTGGTACCAGGCAAAGGAATCCTCCACCGTCCCACTGAACCCGTCCACGTGCAGGCGGTAATAGTTCGACTCGTCCTCAATTCTGCAAACAACAAAGGTGGGACTATTTAATGAGGAGTGTTCGAGTCTCCTTTCCAACCTGGGTACTGCATTCCTGGTGAGGACACCTAGCAATCATCGAGCTTCTCTGGCCAGGCTCCTGCTATGATTCATCCCCCCTAAAGTCCAAAGATGTTTTATTTCTCCCGTCTGTGGGATGCGCATGCTTTTGTCATGACTCAGGGCACTTGTTCTAGGGCTGAACGGGGCAGACTATGACTCTAAAACCACAATAAAGGACTCTGGAGGCTTTGGGAAGACAGTCCCTCTAATTACACAGCACTGACTCCTCTCCGTGTCACAAGCATCCCGCTCTTCACCTAGGCAGAGCTAATTAGCAATCTGCCCCTGGGCTAGCAAGGGCTGAAGGTCACTGCCATTGCACATGACATCCGATGGGAAAAGTCGGGGTGACCGTTCAGGGCACACAGGCTAGTGGGGGATGATCCGTGGCATGGTTTATTTTTTTTCCAGCAGTTTCAGCATTTTTAGGGTCTCAGGCTTCAAGTATCCAGAAGGTGCAGTGCTCCCTTGGACATCCTCCCTTGGCGGATTACTCCACAGTCATTTCCAGTAGAGACAGGGAAGGAGTTCATCTGGGACAGTCTAGACAGACTTGGTCACCCCTGATTAAGAAAGGATGTGGCTGGTGTGGTATGGACAAATAAAACACCAGAGAAGGGCAAGAGCTGTAGGTACCAAAGGACGTCACATCAGGCCCAGCAAGTAAAAGCCATGAGTAAAGAGGGTAAAAATCAAACCACAACTCTAAAGAAGGGAGATGCTGAAGGACCCACCCAGCATCCATGGGATTCAAAACCTTGTTTTTGACAGAGAGCTCAATAATTTTGGCAGGAAACAATTGCCCCTAAGCAGCTGGAGACTATCCATTGGTTCCTACAGCTCACTTTCCCTGGGGCTGTGGATGTTGGCCATGGACAAACAACGCTGCACTTTTCCTGGTTCACAGCCAGGCTTCAACCCAGAGCAAAAATTGGTGGTCAAATCCAGGTGGGGAAGGATAGACAGCCTGGGCCTGGTCTGAAAAGTTCTCTAGACAGAGTCACTCTGCCCTCAGTGGGGTTCCCATGCCTGAAGGTCTCCCAGCATTGAACCAGTTGCATCTGTGAGAACCAGGGAAGGCCATCCCACTTTCTACCTGAAGACCTGGTAGAAGGCGTGCTTGTGCTTGTTGTTCCAGTCCTCCAGGTCGATGCGCAGAGAGTAGTCCCCTTGGCTCGTCATCTTGTGGATGTTCTCGTTGCCCAGCCAGAACTCGCCGTTGAGGTCCCCAAAGCCCTCCTTGTACTCATTCCAGGTCCGGTTGAAGTCAACTGAGCCATCCTGACGCCTCTGGATGACTGTCCAGCCCCCACCTGGCAGGAGAGAGATAACATCAAATGTCAGAGGATTATTCCAGACATTAAGATGGGTTTGAATGAGAGATGGTAGTTTTGGGGAGTGAAATGTTTTGGGACTGGAACAAACCAGAGATCCTGGAGTCTGGAGATTATTATGTACTGTTCCTGCAGCACCACAGCGGCACACGAGCTGTCCCAGTATTGTCTCACTGTCTCCATCTGCTCTCCCATCTGTCCAAATCCCTCTCTCCTCTCTCATTTATTCCAATACTGTAAGCTTGTGGGGGGGTCAGGACGGGACAGGGGCCATCTTTTTATTTGCTGTTTGTACAGCCTGTCACTCTACAGTGTCCAAGATTGTGTTGATGGCCATGCAAATAATAGTAATGACATAACAGAGGCCACATTGCCTGAACTGCCTGTTTCTTACTGAGCACGTGCATCCCAAAGCTGCCATCACCTGTGGATACTAGAATAGGGAAGACACCTATGTGTGGGGAACCCCTACCTCCAGCATGGGTCACGTTGATGTGACACATCCATCCAATGCTGGAGAAGATCCGTGGGACAAGGGACTGACAACCCACAGCCCCATTTCCCTGACGATTGTCATTATTCTTCCAAAACTCAAGTGTCGCCAACTGATTTTGTCAGTAAGTTTGTGCCTTGCGATGACAGTAGCGTGCCCTGTATGGATATTTAGATAGCAAGGATGTGGGAGGTCACCTGCTCCCTCATTTGCACTCCAAGATATCTGTGGGAGAGGGTCTACCTCCCTGCTCCTCACTTCAGCACAGCGCCGACTCAAAGCCTCAACCAGCCTGGCCTTGAACACTTCCAGGGATGGGGCATCCACAGCTTCTCTGGGCAACCTGTCCCAGTGCCTCACCACCCTCTCCTGGAAGATTTTTTTTCCTTATATCTAATCTAAATCTATCTTCTTTCAAGAGTTCTGGAGAAGGGTTCTTCTGGTGACGCTGCTCTCACTGACTATAAAGTAACTTAGAAATAGCTCAGATGAGACACAACTCTCAGGTTAGACAAATCCCGCCCAAAGCTTTGCTGGAAGGTGCTGTAGGTGCCTCCTGCCGTACCTTCAGTGTCCATCTCACACAGCACTTCAATCGGCATCCCGCCGACCGAGGGCATGATGCTGTAGACACCCGACCGCCGGAGCCCGTTGTAATAAACGGAAGCACAGTCGATGGGGCAGTTCCTGGCATGCTTCATCTCTGAGCGAGAAAGCAGAGAAACAGGGCATTTAGGGCACAGCGTGGGGAAAGGGGCACACAACCAAAACCGGCATCATTTTAATGGAATTGTGATGCGGAGACGATAGATCATCCCAGATCCAGCGCTTCTTTGGAGGCTGAAAACCAGTGCAGCCTGCTGGCTTCAAACCTGAGTGCAATGGCTTATTTATCAGTCATAAAGGTCGTTAGCACGGATCTGCACTTAATGATGGCGTGGCTGAGGAATGATCCTCAGCTCAGCTGGTTTTTAATGGCAACACAGGAATGATAGGCGTTTTGCCAGGCTCAGATTAGATTGCATCTCGTACCGAAAAGCTCGGGTACGCTGACAGAGAATAGGCTGGTTCTCCAGCAGTGGTCCTACAATAACAGCAGAAGGGTTTTTCTTCTCTCCAGCTGCTGCTGGGGGTTTTATCTTACAAGGAAAGGAGATAAAAATAATTCTGGACAACCTACGGTTGTTTTTAACTGGGATTTGCCGGGTGGGATATATTTTGCCTGGCACCAGCCATCTATACTTCAGGCAGGCGGTCTCAGGTAGTCCTCAGAGACAGAATTCCACAGAGGGCAGAACCCTGGTTTACATGGGAGAGGAGAAGAGCTGCTCTCCCCGTCTCCCTCCATCACCTCCCAGAGGAGCTCAGCTGAGCTGCCTGCACGGAGGTGCCTGGTGACATTCGAGATGCCCCGGCTTTCAGCAGTCCCATGTAGATCCTGTCTTGTGCCTGCCAGGCTTATGGGGATGTGTTGGATGCTCCAGAGTATTTGGGTGGCATTCAGTCCCAGCTGAACTGAGACACTGGTCACAGTTTAGTCATGAAAGAGTTAATTTTCTTCACAGTGGCTGGTATGAAGCTGTTTTGGATTTGCTCTGAGAATAGCACTGCTCAGGTGGTTTTTAGTTGATGCTGGGGAGCATTTACATTCGAGCTCTTGATACTGCTCCTGTGTTTCCAACTTTCTCACTACAAGCAGTGTGGGGACACACAGTTCAGACAGCCAACCCAAACTGGCCAAAGAGGGATTTCATAGAATGGTTTGAGTTGGAAGGGACCTTAAAGACCATCTAGTTCCAACCCCCCTGCCATGGGCAAGGACCCCTTCCACTAGACCAGGTTGCTCCAAGCCTCATCCAGCCTGGCCTTGAAGACATCCAAGGATGGGGCATCCACAGCTTCTCTGGGAAACATGTCCCAGTTCCTCTCCAACCTCTGCGGGAAGAATTTCTTCCTGATATCTAATCTAAACCTCCCCACTTTCTGTTTAAACCTGTTACCCCTTGTCCTGTCACTACAGTCCCTTGTAAAAAGTCCTCTCCCAGCACCCTTGTAGCCCCTTCAGATACTGGAAGGCTGCAATAAGGTCTCCCCAGAGCCTCCTCTTCTCCAGGCTGAACAAGCCCAACTCTCTCAGCCTTTCATCATAGCAGAGGGGCTCCAGCCCTCTGAGCATCTCCGTGGCCTCCTCTGGACTCGCTCCAAGTGGTCAATATCCTTCTGATATTGAGGGCTCCACAACTGGACGCAGCACTCCAGGTGGGGTCTCACCAGAGCAGAGCAGAGGGGCAGAATCCCCTCCCTCGCCCCCCTGGCCACACTTCTCTGGATACAGCCCAGGATACGGTTGGCCTTCTGGGCTGCCAGCGCACACGGCCGGCTCATGTTCAGCTTTTCATCTACCTAAAAGGAGCCAGCGAGGTTCAGGACCCCTCTCCTAGATGGCATGGAACCCCCCAGAGGTGTCCATTGCTCTGAGGAACCCTCCTGGCTTGCTTGGAAAGGCAGGTTGGGTGTGATCAGACCCCTGGCCAATGCAAAAGGGATTTAAAGCAGTTTTCCCACACCCTTTCCCTCCACCCTCCCCTTCAGGGAAGTCCAAAGGGTGATGCATTCCCTCCCACCCGCCTCCAGCAGCTCCCCATCACCTGGATGGTGCATCTCCTCCTGCAGCCTCATCTCGGCAGGGCCGAGGCAGGGCGGGTTACGCCAGGCCCAGTCGGTCAGGACGGAGATGTTGTTTATTTGCGCCTGCATGTCGTAGAGCAGCGTGGCCTGGATGTGCTGCAGGGTGCTGGCCTCGCTGTACCGATGCTCCAGGTCCTGCACCCGCTGGGCCAGGCTGTAGTTCCTGCCGGCCGCCTCCTCGTGCTGCGGGCAGGGAGAAAAGTGGGATGAGGGGGATGCCTGGGGACCGGCATGGAGTGTGGCATGCAGGGGAACAAGCGAGCAGGGGAATGCACCATCAGAGACCACGACCCTCACTCTGCAGCCCCCAGCCCACCCTGGGAGCCCCAGTCAGCTTGATATTCCCAGGCTGTGGAGCAGGCAGGGCATGCACAGGCAAGCTGCAAGAGGACGCAAGAGCAGGGCAAGCCTGGAGGATTCCCCTCCAAACACCCTCCAGCCTGCAACACATTGCAACATGGATGTGGCCTCTATGTATTTATCACAGAATCCCAGCATGGTTTGAGTGGGAAGGGACCTTAAAGCCCATCCAGTCCCAGCCCCTGCCATGGGCAGGGACACCTTCCACTAGATCAGCTTGCAATTTAGCAACTACTGATGGAGTTTCCTTCCAAAAAGCTGTCCAATCTCCCCCTGAACCTTATAATGTTTTTATAAGGAGCTCCACAGCTCACAATGAGCCACCTCCTGCTTTCGGTGCCCTGCAAGCAGCAATGACTGCATACACGCTATGCAAGGAGCCGGTGTGATACAGGACCCCAGCTCCTTCCATAACTCTTTTCCTGCTTGTTCTTAGGACAACCAATCTTTAACCTTGTGGAAAATACAGATGAAAGAGGGCTGGAGATGTCCACGGGAGGTGGGCACTCCAAACTCCACCAACACCCACCCAACATGCCCCAGATGCAGTCACGCCTGCCTCTCTCGTTCAGTGCTCCCTGTCCATTAGATGGCAGAGCAAGCCTTAATCAGCAACTCCAAAATCCCACAGCAGCCTGGGAACAACCCCCTCCCTCCCCTGGGCAATGCAAGAGTCCTTCCCCGTGCCCCCCATTCCCTCCCCGGCAATCCCAGGGCCCATCTGCACTGGAGGGATGCTGGTTCTCCATCAGTGCTGCCCTTCCTTGTCCTCTGATGGGGACATCTCTTCCTCCATCATCTGCTCAGCGTCACTGCCTCAGGCTCACGAGCCACCCCCAAGACCCTGAAAATAAACAACTTGGTTTTCTCACCTCCCTGTCCTCAGCATCAGGGGCAAATCTGGATTTTCAGGTGTCCGTGCAAGCGTGTGGCTAATTAAATATCCCTAGGGACACGGAGATCTGGCACTGGACTCATCCCTACCTGCAGAATGGCAATGGTGCTGCTGAGGGTCGGGGATTTCCTTCAGTTGGAAGGGGTTTGCATGTCCAGAATATGTTTTCTTCCCTTCCAGCTGCTCCCAGAACCCGGCTCACACCTCAGCTCCCACCACCCATTCCTGCCAGGACACATCTCGCTGTTCCCAGGAGATTGCATTACCACTGCTGCTTTACTGTGTCAGTGTATAACACCAGAATTATACCAGTACATAGTATATCAGTACTGGCAGCTCTAGGACATCCTTCCCAAGGCTGCTTGAGCGTTGCCTGATGACCCTGCTAAAAGCCCATCAAGCCTGCCCGCATCCCCAAATCCAGAGCAGCTACCTGGGCAGGGGCAAAAAAGTGGGAATTATGGCATGCAAGGAAATGGTGCTTTCCTTCTCAGGACTGCAACGTCTCCATCTCCCCCATAAATCAGCCGTCCCCCCTGACCTGCTCCGTGAGCTGTGACTGACAGAGGCTTCTTCCAAGCTCCCTTCACCCACGCATCGGCTCTCCGAATAAAGCCCAGGATGCTCTCTCCCAGACAGTCCCCTCCTCCACAGTTGATACCTTTTCTCCTGCTGCTGATTAAACCCAGCGCAGCCAGAGCACCGTGACAGTGCCCTGATGCTGCTCCCTTCCCAGCATCCCTCTGCTCCGGTGGGACTGGGGCTGTATTTTTACACGGCGGGGTCCTGCTCTGCGCATTATCCAGCCGTGCAAACATAATAGGACTGGAAGAGCCAGGTGAGGGAGTTCCTTTTGCTCCCTAAATTGCCCTGAAAGGAGGGAAGATGGGATAGATGGGGTCAACCCATCTGACCCAATTTGGGTGTCCCTGTTAGAAACTGTGACCTGAAAGAGCCTGTTGCTCTCGGCTCAGAAAAGGATGCTGAGCTCAGAGAGAGACGTCGCCGCTCGGACAGACAAGCCCACGCTGAGCTCCCGGAGAAATGACTGACAGCAAACCCCAGGGAGACCAGCCAGCAGCAGCTGGAGGCTGATTTATGAAGATGGATTAAGGGAGCAACAGCTCCTTAGTGGAAGGAACGGAGGCGGAGGAGACCTACCCAGGCTGGGGAATTCAGCAGGGGGAGGTGCGAGGGGATGCAGGAGAAAAGCAGCTTCACAGGCTGGGCACAAGCATTGGGAAACGGCCAGAACAATGCAGCAGGAAAACTCCCTACAGGAGCGTCCCAAAGCTGGTGGGGAGCAGAGGCAAGCGGCTCAGATGCTGTTGCTGCCTCTGGTCTCCTCCCTTCGGTGCTTGCAGGGTGACAGGACACACTCATTGCCATCAGCTAAGCTCCCCAGATTCTTTTTTCCTTCTTCTTCCAGGCCTCCCATACTGTTATTTTTTAGACTTGCGGAAAAACTGAGGTTGGAATAAACAGCTGGAGGTCTCCAGCCCACACAGCTGCAGAAAGCAGGGCTAATTTCCAAGCTGGATCTGGTTGCTCAGGGCCTTTTCCAGCCAAGGTCTGAAACTCTCTACAAATGATCTCAAAAGATGCTCCGAGGGCTGGAGCCCCTCTGCCATGGGGACAGGTTGGGAGAGTTGGGGGGTTCAGCCTGGAGAAAGGAAGGCTCCGGGGAGACCTCAGAGCCCCTTCCAGTGCCTGGGGGGCTACAAGAAAGCTGGGGGGGACTT